GTTTCCAATTTCAGCTTCTATACCACCTAAATGAACCACAAGCTTCTGTGGGTTGATTTTTTTTTCCCAAATAATTTCTTGCTCATTGATTTTAACTCCAGAAAGCACTACCTGTGATTATGCAGTTGGCTTTCTATCAAACATAAGCCTGAACTGATTCCTCTTTGAACAGCAGCATTCAACTTTTAACTTCAAATGCTGGAATCCTTGTTTATGTTATTCAGTAGCTAGTAATTAGCTTGTAACCCTTATGCTTACAAAAGTAAAGGTTATGCTTTCACTGAATTTGTCTAGCTTACACTTCTAGGGAGTAGATCATGTGTCTTTCCTACAGTAAATTGCCTTCACCTATTGAATTTCCATTCCCCAGACAGGCAGTCACAATTTGTTCAAAGAAAACCACTGGCTTTTAAATATTCTTCATGTAGTGCAGATATCAGATCTATACGTGATGGTCCTGCAGCAGACGCATTGCATAACACAAAAATGTTGATATTAAACTAAAAAGCAGTCAGCTGTGATAGTGCTTCTCTAAGAATTCAGAACAAGTAGACATCACAGGAGTGCAGTAAAATGAGAAGTTGCACGAACGCATGTAATGTTAAGCAGAACGGAGAAGGAATTTAAACTGGGTCTCATTCAGTGCTGTCGGTGACAGCTCAACAATAACAGACTTACAGCTGAAGCTACTGGAGGGATCCATTATACAAGTTTTAGACCTGAATGCTGAAGTGGGAGAGATCAGGAAAACTTAATGAGAAACTAAATCTCCAGAAGCCTCTGAGCAAAAAAAAGCTGCCAAAAGCCAACAGAACAGGTACTAACAACAAACTGAAGGGCTTTTCAGTTGGACACTACCGTCAAAGTGAAGTGAAATAACCAACTACCAGGCAGCACCAAGCAAAAAAGACACAGTCTGGCAACTTTTTGTTGAGTGGGAGTGTTTTAGAGGCTCATGATGAGTAAGTGTAAGGAGTACACTAAGAATGTCTAATGTGTTTTATGAGAACATAAAAGCAAATGGTATCCTGACAGAAGACAGTTAATTGATTGAGAAGCTGAACAAAGTTCTCATTAAGAGAGGTTTTGCAACTGTTTGGGATGACCTAGGCATACTTTCACAGCAAGCAGAGCTCTGACTGTGGGCCAGATACGTATACTCATATAATCCCAGCCTAAGCAGTGGAAGCGATACTGAAGTCTGTGGCACAGGCATCAGCCCTGGCTACTCCTGCCACCAGCCTGCTCTTGATCCTAGAGACAGACACAGCCGGCTAGCCTGTGCTACCACCTCCTGGGGCAGTTTGTATCTGTTCCCTGTAGGAAAGAGCTAGAAAGAACCTTTCTATGCTGAAGCTGCCCCATCTTTCTGCAGGGAGGCTGCCTAGAGTGCAGTTTCAGAGGCAGCTAATGATTCGCTGCAGCAAGAAAAAGCCTCATCTCCCTTTTAGTCCCTGCTTCATACTCATGAGACCTTTCCATCAGCCTTTTAAGTCTCTAGCTGTGGAGAAATATCCACCTCCTTTGCTGGGTTTTTCTCCAGGCTAGTGAGCTAACATGGCATATGGGAGACTGCAACACACACTAGTGTCAGCACAAGGTAAGAAATGGGAGGGTGAAGGCGGGAGGGAGACCTCCTTCCCCTTCGAGTGGCCTTACACTTGGCAGAGCTCCTGGCACTGCAGCCTTATTCTGTACAAAACTACAGCAGTTTCACCCAAAAGCAGGCTTTTGCCCTTCACATCTTTCATTACTTGATGCATGTCACATCCTCCAGTGATTTAAATCCATCAGGGAAAATAATGTAGTGAAATGCTGTGCCCATTTACCAATTAAGGTTGTTTTAATTTGCATGAGTAGCATTATGCAGCCTGTACAGCTTTTGCCGTGTCCTCTGCCAGATATAAAGCCAATATAGAAATACAAGACCCTTCTGTTTCCAATTTGGACCCAGTCAGATTTCATCAAGACAGTGAGCACTCTGTCTTAGGCCCATTGATTTTATGTTCTAGCCTTATTCTGCACTGAGGCCATCTTCCAGGACTGTAATAGGATGCCCTTGGAGCAGAAGCCTTCTCATCCCCAGGACATACCATATCAACTTCCTTTGTTATAAAAAAATTACTAACCCCTGTTAGAGAGCGGAGGCTTTCTTCCCTGCCTGACTTTGAGACTACCTGACATTACATTTTTAACTTTATACACTAGCACTGGGAGGACTGTATCTTTAAACTTATAACCATGAAACAGGCAAAGGAGTTTTTCTTATGTAAAAATATTAACACGTGGTATTCCTTTCCTGCACATGTACCCTTCTGAACCCATTTAACAAAAATGCTAAACAGTGTTTTCTCAAGTGGCCAAACCAGAAGGTGGCTCTGCAAACTGAATAGAAAATGGAGATTATAATAAAGATGGCACAAAAACACCCTGAAGAGTCACAGCTTTATGAGGGTCAGTACCAGAACTCTTGGTTTTTTTATAATGGATGTATAATCTTGTGGCCTACGGAAATGAGAAGAATTAAATAGTCATAGGGCTGATTAGTGAAATGGGTGGTGGAATTTAGGAAGAGACTTCAGAAGGGGAAGGACTCTGAATAGAAGCACATTCATTGGCTCAAGAAATGGAAAGTACAGACTATAAAAAGACATTATATGCCTTTCAAAAATGAAGATAGGAACAAATTATATTAAAACAGTGGAAAAGACCAAGAATATCTCAGGACACATCAAAAGAGCATAAAAATAAATCAAGGGTAACCCTTTCTTGTGATGTAAATGCCAGGAAAGAGCTACTTCTTGTTTCTTTTTAATCTTTTTAACATTGTGAAAGGGACTTCCCTGTGAGGATAAGTTTATGAGCTGCGTCAGTGGAAGCAATCCTCTCAGTTTATGAGCTGGCTGTAAGAGGCTAAGCGCAGGTACTTGGAAAGTGGGGGTAAAGGTCTGCTGCAATGCACACATACAGAGCCAAAATGGATTAACAGAAATGCCAAGAAAGGTCTCCCTGAACTGTACAGCAGCAAGAGAACATGCAACAATTAAGACAGAATTTTTATACTTAATACCTCTTTCCTTCTTCAGGGCATGACAGGAATACAGGGGTAAAGGCAAAGTGAAAAAAACCCCAAAACACACCACATTAAGGAAAAGAAGAATGTACCTATATAATAATTCTTCCTGACACAGCCATGGGTAAACAAATTGGTAAGTCTGGGCTTTATAAAGGCATATCCCTCCGAGCAGGACCTTTGCTTTCCACTCCACCTTCTCCTGACAATTAGGCAGGGCTGGGTTAGGATAACATGGGTGTGCCTGATCTGATCCATTTCCAGTGCCTGCAAGCCAGCACAATCCTTCCTGACTTCTCTGTTCAAAGATGTAGCACATATGAAGAATTCTTTAATGATTTTTAAAGTGTTTTAATTTAATTTTCTAAATGCTGAGTCAGATAATTATTTATGCTGTTAATTCTGTCCCTCCTTCAATCCCTGAAGCCACAAAAAGTAACTGTATTCACTGTTAACCCAATTGTGGTAAAATGTCAAAGTTCTTCCCCTGCCTCCCCTCCCCCACTCCCTTTCCTCAGAAAAAGCTTTTCTGAATTTCTACAACAACTATTGCACTTGATTAAAAACAAATACACACATCAAGTAATCTTCTTCCCCCCTTCCCCTGCCCCATAAAACCAGCATAACAAATACTGCAAGTGAAAAGAAAATGGGTCATTATAATTGTTTTCAAAGTAAGCAACACTCAACATCAAATAACTGGCAACAGTGTCTTTTTTTCCACTTAATGGAGAGTGGAGAATAATTCTGGTTGTGGTGGTTTGGATTGTTTGGTGCTTTTTTTTTAATTATTATTAAAGGTCTTGTTTTACATCATGGCTGAAAGCCAAGCAGATTTCCGGGAATTTTTTTTGCAGTTCTTAAATCAAGCAAAATAAATTCCAGCAAGAAAACAAAACTAACCTTGTCCCCTAGTAGTGGTACTTTATGCTAATACATTATATTCAGGAATGTTTGTCAGTAGAGTCTGCACAGTGTTTGTATATTTACAGAAGTTTAACTCCCTGCCCACCTAAGGACCTGCTCCCTCATGCTTCTTCCACATTCCTTAATCTGACACAAGAAAGAAATTCACTGTACTCAGAGTCCCACCACCTATCTGCTTTGCATTCAGTTTGAGCATCCCAACAATTCAGTGCTAACAAAGGCTAACCTAAATGCTGCTTTTCTGTGTACTCCTTTCCCCTTGCAGGTTGCAGCGCTTGAAGCAAGTGAGTGCTTTGGTCTGCATGCCAGCATACCCACCAGTTACTTGCTTCTCTCTTCCTTTACAAAGTCGCCCAGAGATCTTGTCATTCAATTCAGTTCATCTTTGGAAGTCTTATGCCACGTTTATGTGTTTCCTGAGTGTGACAAGGAACAGTGCCAGGACAGAACAACTGCTAACTGTGGTCAATGGCCATCACTGGTCTAATTTACAAACAATAAATCTGTGCCCAGGGTTACTAGCAGAAGCATCAAGTTTTGCTGGTCCTGAAAACTAAGAAACCCCATATACAAATACCCATTATTTTAGAATCAAGAACTATTAGGACTGTGTAATTTGGCTTATTATTCTAACTGTATTCATGGAGAAAATTAACTTATTAGTCTAACAGGGCTGATACACATTATGGTGCACTCCTTCCTGATCACACTCTTTGCACTCTAAGCTAGTAAAAAGCACACCTGGTATTTGCAGTTGCTTGGATCCCTCCCAGGACATCATACCATGTTTTGTGAGTGTGGGTTTGTAAAGGGGAAAACCTGCTGGATTAAGGCAGAAGACTGACATAAGCGAGCAGTTTATTACAGACATAGCCCATTAAACACAATCTGATTGAACAGGCAACAGACTGCCAACAAATATGCATTTATGTATTTACACGTTAAAGTCCAAGAGTCTTTGTAGTCTTCTCCATCCAGTCTGCACATTTAAACTGACAAAAAATAATTTGTATACACACAGCATTAAAAAAACAGGGAGGGGAAAAAAACAAAAAACAGCCAGACCAGCAGCTTCATCTTGGTATAATCATCCTTTCTATGGCACAAATGATATGATCCCAGTTTTTACAAAATATTGCCAGCAGTGTCACTGCAAAAAAAGTGCAAATGATATGAAAACGGCTCTTCATCATAGGAGCAATGAACTTTGCAATAGTAGAAACGCACACTAAGATGACAGTCATGAAGGCCAGGATAACATTTATACATTTCCCTAGGAGCACTTTGGCATTAACTGTTTCAGACTGCTGTGCTTGCTGTTCTTGCTGATGGAGCTCCAGCTTTGAAACCCGGGTCTGGCATGATTCCAAGGCTTCCTGGAGATAGAAAACAAGAATTAGGGCAGCTGTATTTCTATACACCACTTTTCCTGTTCTAGCTGCAGAGCTATCCATCAGCTAGAAATGTAATTTATTATAGACTCCTAAAACTTGAATGAACCACCAACTCTTTTAAAAATAAATGCACATATATATCTGCTCAGGCATAATCAAGTCTGACAACACCATGCAAAATGTAGTTTTTACATTTTTCATGCTTGAGAAACAGTATTGTAACTCTAATGTTCACGACAGATAATGTTTCCTGCATATACTGATGAGATAAAGTACTGGGAAAGCTGTTACCTTGGCAACTTCCGCTGCATTAAAACAGCATCAAAGTTGGTTTCTGTCTATATGCCATAGAAAATATTATGGTAGTATGGGCTTGCTGCAATACTAACTAAATCAACTTTGCATTGTGTACGATTTGGTTTATACCACCTCTCTGGTCTACATTACTTTTTCCTCTCAAAGCCACCCATCGCACAGTGCTGGGATTGAGTCCTCAGGAAGAGATTGCCTTCTCCCGCTGTCAGTGCGAAGGCTCATTAAATCCATACACCAAGTCCAGCTATAAAAGTCCAATACCTGCAGTTTTGGATTGAGAGGCTGAGCAAGTGTTTTAAAAACAACCTGCCCAGCCCTTAGGGACAGAATGCTCCAAAGTTACGTTGTTACTTAAAATATCCACAACTTAAATGCTTTTACTCTATTTTAGCTTATTTGCCCAACGCCCAAAGAGACAGGTTTAAACAGGCTCGACTGTACAGAGACAAAAGAAACAAGGCTGTACCAATGTAGCACTTCAACTAGTTTTAAAAGTCTCTGACACTCCTCCAGGGTTCTGCTAATGAGTTAGCAAACATTTCACAGCCCTTCTGTTGGAGAACTCAGGTCTCATTCAGTGTTCAGTTCCTGCATCTCAAGATGCCTTCATAGAAAGAGTCCTGCATGAGGTACCTCTCTTCTCTAAACCTACAGAGGAACCTATGAGATGCTTAGATACAGTACCATCCTTTTTCCACTCTGCTCCCGGGAGTTTCCTAACTCTCACACCAATCAGGGAACAGGGTGATTATCCTGATGCCTGCACCCTCTACATTCAGAAGTGTGAGCATAGGGGTGTACGGGACAGGGGTGTTTGTTTTGTTTTTTACCATCTGAGCCAATACTAACATCTGAGGAATGCTCAAAGACTGTACATTTAAACCCAAGATGAGGCAAAACAATTTTTTCACCATTTTTCACCACTTCCTCAGGCTTTGGGTATATAAATATTCAAGTGTTTAACCACATGCTACAAACTTGTAGACATTATTACTGGCTTTTGATTGAAGCCAGACATGACTACAAATCAGTGTGTTCACTGAGGTGAACACACCCTATAAATTTGCTTATAGGAGCCGTTGTGACCATGGATTAAAACTCTTAAATTATAACTGGCAAATAAATTTACAAGTCTCATTATCAATTAGCTCTCTTTTTACCCTAAACTCAATTTAAAATAAACTTTGGCAGTAACATGACTACACATTGTCGAAAGTCTGAGCAAGAGGTTTGTGTTAGGACATTGTCAAAAGGAGCATTTTACACAATACAAGGAGACTCAATTCCTTTTATTTATTATTAAATATTATTTATCTAATTAAAACAGGCCATTCTTCATTCACAAGTCTGCCTAAGCTATGTCATCAATTCCAGAAGATAAAATTCTGAATCCATTGAAACAAATGGAAACTGTCACCAATTCAAATGTGCTCAGTTTTCATCTTAAAACAGACAAAAAAGGGCTTAAC